CATGGTTTGAGATATAAAACCATGATTTTTCATAAAGTAAATTTTTTTTTTTTGCTTTTGAAGGTATAAAACCATGGTTTGGGATTAAAAAAATAGATAAATATAAAAGATAAAGTAGATTAGAATTTTATATTCATAGTCAAATTGAATATCCGGTTAGTTTTTATATTAAGTATGAGAGGTAATATTAATTAGTTATATTTTTTTACATACAATTTATTATTTCAAACAAAAATATAGATTAAAATCTATTTTTTTCTATAATTGTCATATTAACTTATATCCTTTTTAGTAATTTATACATGAAAAAGATGATTATGATAACAACCACTCAAACATTTTCACTTTATCAAAATCACTTTTTTCACAAAATCTATTCTTTTAAAATTTATTCTCAAAATCTATTCACAAAATCTATTTTCCAAACACCTTCTTATTATTAAGCTAAGTTTGGTTATTGTTACGTTGATTAGGAATCCACGGTAGCAACAACGATTTGGGGGTATTTGGATGAAACCAAACCATGGTTTAAAGAATAGTTCATGAAAAATAGGTTTTGGATTTTGAGAATAGATGTTATGAAAAAAATGATTTTGATAAAGTGAAGATATTTAAGTGGTTGTTATCATAATCATTTTTTTTATGTACAAATTATTAAAAAATACATAAGTTAATATAATAATTATAGAAAAAAGATTTTAATTTATATTTTTGTTTGCAATAATAAATTTTTAAATAATAAATTATATATAAAAATATAATTAATTAATATTACCTCTCATCCTTAATATAAAAGCTAATTAGTTATTCAATTTGATTTTAAATATAAGATCTCAATCTGCTTTATCTCTTATATTTATCTATTTTTTATATTTCAAACTGTGGTTTTATACCTTCAAAAGCGAAAAAAATTACTTTATGAAAAATCATGGTTTTATATCCCAATCCATGAATTTCAATTCAAAAGTGATTTGCAAAAACTCATGGTGTTTGGCTATTTTTTTCTTCTAAACCATAGTTTTTAATCAAAAAACTGATTTTGTAAAAAATTAACATGTTTAGATAGTTGGATCCAAAACTATGATTTTGTTTGTTATCTAAAACATCCCGAAGTCTCTTCCCCCTAGGTAGCAGCCTGGTGACGCTATGACCAAAGCTTCATTATAACCTCAATCTTTGGCAGTTCTTTGAGAAATCAAATGACTTTCTACTCGATCCATAATAAGATTGACAGAATCTCTACTTCCCTGTCTTCGTTCTCATCTTTGCTCAGCCTCTTCCTTGCTTCTCCATGTTTCTTTAGAGAGTCATCGTATCACTCATTCCCCAGTTACCCCAAGCCTCTACTGGCACCCTCTACTCAAAAACTCCAAGTCGATTTTTCTTATCCACTACAATCACCATCTTCCTATTACGCGTCCCTCCTCCAATCTTGTATAGCTGGCAAGGTGATCCGACCCGGGATACAGATTCATGCCCGATTGTTCCAATGGGGCATTGGTTATGATCAAGATTTGGCCACTAAATTGGTTAATCTGTACTCTGTTTGCAACTCTCTACGCTATGCCCATAACCTGTTTGATAGAATTCCCAAGGGTAATTTATTTCTGTGGAATATTCTGATTCGGGGCTATGCATGGAATGGGCCCTACGAAGTTGCCATTTGGCTTTTTTACCGGATTCTTGATCATGGGCTAAAGCCAGATAATTTTACTTTCCCGTTTGTTTTAAAGGCATGCTCTGCACTTTCTGCGATTGGAGATGGAAGGAATATTCATGAATGTGTGTTACGAACTGGGTGGGAGACAGATGTGTTTGTTGGTGCTGCTCTTATTGACATGTATGCGAAATGTGGCTGTGTGGGGGATGCACGTCAAGTGTTTGATAAAATTGTTGTTAGAGATGCTGTGTTATGGAATTCCATGCTGGCTGCTTACGCTCAAAATGGACACCCTGATGAATCACTCTCCCTGTGCAGTGAAATGGCGGCAAGAGTTGTGAAACCTACTGAGGCAACTCTCGTGACCGTGATTTCATCGTCTGCTGACATTGCTTGTCTTCCTCATGGAAGGGAAATCCATGGATTTAGTTGGAGACATGGGTTTCATTCCAATGACAGGGTCAAAACTGCTTTACTAGATATGTACGCAAAATGTGGTTCTGTAAATGTTGCTCATAATTTGTTCAAGCGTCTAAGGGAGAAAAGGGTTGTGTCTTGGAATGCCATTATTGCTGGTTATGCCATGCATGGCCATGCAATTGAAGCTTTGGACTTATTTGAGAAAATGAGGGAAGAGGCTCACCCAGATCACATAACCTTTGTTGGTGTTCTTGCAGCTTGCAGCCGTGGCGGCTTGCTTGATAAAGGGCGAGCCTTCTTCAACATGATGGTGAGAGATTACTGTATCAATCCCACGGTCCAACATTACACATGTATGGTTGATCTTCTTGGTCGCTGTGGTCAACTGGACGAGGCTTATGACCTCATAACTCAGATGAAGGTAATGCCCGACTCTGGTGTGTGGGGTGCTCTGCTGAACTCATGCAAGATCCATAAGAATGTGGAGTTGGCAGAGCTAGCATTGGAGAAGTTAATCGAGCTAGAACCTGAAGATGCTGGACACTATGTGATTTTATCAAACATGTATGCTCAATCAGGTAAGTGGGAAGGAGTTGCAAGATTAAGAAATTTAATGATTGATAAAAGAATAAAGAAAAGCACAGCTTGTAGCTGGATTGAAGTGAAAAACCAAGTCCATTCATTTCTTTCTGGGGATGTTTCACACCCAAATTCAGGAGCAATATATGCAGAGCTGAAGAGACTGGAAGGACTGATGAGAGAATCTGGGTATGTGCCAGATACAGGATCTGTCTTCCATGATGTTGAGGAAGATGAGAAAACTCACATGGTGTGCAGTCACAGTGAAAGGCTAGCTATTGCATTTGGACTCATAAGCACACCGCCGGGAGCGAGGATCTTGATAACGAAAAATCTTAAGATTTGTGAGGACTGCCATGTTGCTATCAAGTTCATATCAAAAATCACAGAGAGGGAAATCTCTGTGAGAGATGTTAATCGGTATCATCATTTTAAAGACGGAGTTTGTTCGTGTGGTGATTATTGGTGATGGAAGAAATCTGAGTCATGTTGGGAAGAAGTGGCATGCACAAAACTCGACCTAGGCTCTGCCTTCGCAACTCCTCTTGTCTATGCTGTTGTCGGGCCTATTGCTTCATGGGTCAATCACAGGCTTCATCATCGATGGGAAGCATCTAGCAGAGAAATTTTTGCAGCAAAATGCAAAATGATCATAAGGAGTATGGAAGACACAAACAGGCCTGATTTCAAACGGTTTAGAACTTGAACTTTGAATCCCAGAAGAATTTTGAGCTGCATAACGTATTTATCATGAAGATCTCTCAGAGTCCATTGTTGCCTTCGCCAAGAAATTCCATGGTAAGGCTACTAACAAGTCCGAAGTATTTTACTTTCAAGCATTTCAGGTTGGTTTTAATATTTATATCTGCTTTTTTTATATTGCTGGTATTATTTACTTATTTCTTAAAAATTAATTAGGATAAATATATAAATGTCTTTTTGTTAGTTTGATGGCAAATTTCATGAATAAATTTTTTTTTAATCTATGAAGTTCTTGCTCGTTTTTTCCCGTTTATTTTCGCCACATCATTCTTGGGTTGGTTCGATTCAATATGAATTTTTAAACTGGCAAAATTGAAAGGTAGATTCAATTAAAAAATAAGTTAATATATCAAATGTAATGTGATTGATATCGGCAAGCATGTTGCTACTGGCCACTGGGGAATGGTATCTTAAATCTCCAATAATTCCTTGAGTTAATCATGAAAAATGAGTTTGGGAAAATAACACTTTGTAATTAAGGATCTTTCTAGATTTTCGACTGAAACTCAACTGCTGCTTCCGGTAAAATGAATCTTATATTAAAAACTGAAAGTAATATTTCTAATTAAAATTTAGCGATGTCCAAGTTAATTTCCTTAATGCTGCTTGGCATCTGAAGGGGAGGCTCCACCATGGGCTTCGAAGGTTAAGGCAGTTAGAGGAAATGCGATGCCATGAGCATGATAGATTGCCAATAAAAGATCATTTCCTGCGTGTGCTCATGAAACGTAATTACTGTTAAATTATGTTTGGATTCAACTTTTTTGGTAAAATTCCATACTAATACTAATACAAGAATATGGAATATATACATGATCTAAGAGGGTATTTGAATAGAAATCAAACTATTGATTTAGAAGTGATTTTATGGTATATGGAGTAACTATGTGAAGGAATTTATCATGATTCGTAAAAAAAATTTTATAAAAAGCATTTTCAGAAATATCCAAACACTCTCTAAATACATTTAGAGTCTGGATTCACGTTTAAAATGACTTATAAGTTGCTTTTGAATCAAAACCAGGATTGGACAATTTGTATTGAGTTTGGTTTCACTTTTGGCCCATATGACTTTTGTAACATCGGTTATCTCTAACCTATTACTAACCTTTTTAAACTCCAAATTTAATAATACTAACCGTGGTATAAAAGAATCTTAGTATAATATAAAAAAAAAACTACCATGGTTATAAAAAGAAATCTTGATTCGCCAAAAATATTAACCATGATAGAAAAGACTTGAACTAGTTATTCAAAATGTCTATCATGATTATAAGAGTTTTACTAAGCAAGTTGTATAAAAACCATAATTAATAATATTTCACAATAACTGGACATTGGGCTTTACAAAGCCCAGAATGTCACAATTCATCTCTAAGCCCATAACATGATATTTTCTGAATAAAATTTGTCCAAACCAACAGTAATCAACTACTTTCAAAAGTCATTGTGGGTTCACAGCTTACAGACCCAAGCAACCCAGTAACAAAAGTAACTAAGATCAAAAGTTCAAATAAAACAGAGTATGCAAAAAGAGCTAGATGTGGCAATATACAATACTCATCACATGACAAAAAAAGAGGTTATACAAGATAAACTTGATAGTTAAGCCTTCGCTGCCTTCCCTGACGGACCAGCCCTAGAGCTATTATCTGAAAATGTTAAACCACGGGGTGAGACAAAAGCCTCAGTAACCAACAATCCTACTCATTAGGCATACAAGTAAGTGCTTGAGAGGTGTTAAGTGGAACAGTTACTAAAATCATAACATTCACAATTGTCATATGGTTATATATATATATATATATATATATAGACATATCAAAATACAATATCTCACTCTTAATTCCACCTTATTTCCTCACACCTTATTTCCTCTGACTGAACCCATGGGCTAGTACTGTCCCATGTGACTGGTAGTTCAACATAATAAGCTCACCGATCAAGTGATGTGAATAGGCCAAAATCCACAGAGCACAAGATCGGACCATGGGTCCCCCCTCTAGTCCACTAGCGGGGTGTCATACGCCCTACAACACATGATAGGGCCCAAGGATCAACCAGTGTACATCTGGCGTCCTCCCACCTTATTACCTCTATAATATGTACAAAAATTCACCCCCTTATTCTCCCTATAACATGTCTCCCACAAATCAACGTTCACCGTCCCCTCTCGTATTTATACTCATGAGAATAATCATTTACCAATAACATAATAACTTTCACATTTACCAAAATCGAGATTTCAAAATTTCAATAATCAATATCAGTCCTCAAACCATTTCTCAATAAATTCTTGTTCCACATGACAAATTTATAAATTCATAATTTCATACTATTTTTTAATAACATAAAGTATCTCAAGGCAATTTCAACAATGATGCCTTTCATTGCTCAAATAATAATTCAATGGCATTTCAACAATCTCATATAATTCGAAATCACTCGCAAACATCATACAAGCATACATAACAAGTGGAAAGTGGTTACCTCTCGCCAAAGCAATACTAAGGATTACCACAAGGTCAATCCTTTGCTCAACCAATAATTAATCTACACAATTAATATAACCACATATTAATATAAACTAATTAATTAATTAAACTTCTCTATATTATTTAAATTTCTAATCTAATTAAATTTTTATTCTAAATTCCCGCAACTCTCATAACCCAAAAATTATTAAGTATTTTAGAAACAACTTAAAATTTCTAACAACCCAAATTACTTATTCACCACCTCCAAATTATTTATCTTGATAAAAAGAATTTTTCACAATTTTTAAATATAAAATTACTATATTCTAAATTCTGAAAATCTCATTTTCAGTTTAAACTCAAAATCAAACTCTCAAAAATTCAATAATACTTCAAATATTCATAAATAAATAATCTAATGAAAACTTTAATGGTATAACTACCACATACATACATACATATATATATATATATTTCAATAAATAATAAACTTTGTAGCTATAATAATTATTTTAAAACCTCCAGTCACCCAATAAATAAAACTAAACCAATTAAAATCTTAATAATATGTCAAACAATCCAAATAAATTACTTAACTTGAATTTAATCGGTAAAAATATAATATAAATCATATATAACAGATTTTTTATCTAGAAAAACTAATTTAAATACTAGAAACCAACAAATGGACAAATCTAACCAATTAAAATTAACAACTCATTCACTTCTAAATTTCTATAGTTATCTTTTGTCAAAACTCAATACTTAGATCATATATAAGTTTTAAAATTTTCTCCAATCACTATAGTAATAACGTAAATAGGAAGCTTAAAATATACAGGAAATATTTATAAAGAAATTTTGATAAAAAGAAGTAATTTTATGTACCTAAATTATCTTCAAAGTTTAGCCTTCTCCTTCACGAGCACTGCTGCTACGCTCTTTCTATTTCTCTCTCGCTCTCTTTCTCTCCTCCCCTCTTTCTCTAACGCGTTCTCTCCCAACTTCTGCGTCTCCTCTCCCTTTTATCTCCCATCTTTCAACCACCCAGCGAAAAATTCCTTCCTTCATTTAATTCTCCTTCCTCCCAAAGTCTTCCTAATGCCAATTTTTTCCTCACGTCTCCCATCTTTCCATGCCTCATTTTCCATGCATGCATCAACTTTCCACAAACTAATTTTCCATGGTCCAAATTTTCAACGAAGGTTGTGGAAAGTTGCTTCCTTCTTCTTCTTCTTTTGTTTTAAATTAAAATATTATTATTTTATCTCTCTCCTTTTTTAAAAAAAAATTAATAAAATATTAGGATATTACAACTTTTGGGCCAAAAGTAATTTAGGGCTTATTTAGTTTTTTGTTTTGAAAATAATTTTTTATCTTTAAAAACAGAAAAACAAAAAACTTTGTTTGGTAATTTGTTTTTAATTGATTGTTTTAAAAAATAAAAAAAAATAGTATATTTTTAAAAACTGAAAAACAAAAACAATTTTTATATATTTTTTGTTTTTGTGTTTTTTATTTTTTTATTCCGAAAAATTGGAAAAATCTTTTTCTTTTTTATTACCTATTACTTATTACTACCGGTGATAACTATCACTTGTCAAAGTTTAATTTTTTATTTTTTTTCAAGTGTGATTTTTTAAAAATTATTTTCCAAACAAATTTTTTTGTTTTTTGTTTTCAAAACTTGTTCTTAAAAACAATTTATAAAATTGTTTTGAGAATTTAAAAACAAATAACAAAAACAAACAGCCCTTAATTTCCTACTATTGGCACAAGCTGCCTCCACCTATTTTTACCTTTCAAATTGTGCTTATTACTGTGATGCTGGACCAATATATGTGAAACTATTTTTTTTCCCTCTGTATTTTTTATTTTCCTAACAGTTTTGTTTCTATTTTGTTCTTCTTTGTTTCTTTGTTACTGTTCGGTTGCTTTTGCTTCTCCGGATTTTTTATATTTTCTTTTATTAATAAAAAGGTTTTTTTAAGTATTTACATAAATAATTTCTTATAATATTTCTAATTTTTTTAAATATATTTGATTCATTAAATTTAACTTTCCTCCTATTAAAATAATTTAAAATTATCATATTTTGTAAATTCATTTTTTTTTATCATTTTTCATTAATGAAAGTAACATCCATTTTAGTCATTTTACAAACTAAATTTACTTATTCAATTATAATCCAAATAATTTTTACTTTTACAAACTTACTTTTATAAAAATCAATCTAAATATAAATTATATTATTTAATATAACTTTTTAAAAAGTCAAATTGAACGTAAACTATTTTTTCTATCACTGATCCAGACAGCTCTTAATATTTTATTGCTTTTGTTCCTTTTACGTGGTGAAATTGTACGGATTTAGTTTAATTTAAATGATCCAAATTTATTTTTTCTCTTTTCATTTTTTTGAAACAAATTATTTTAATGTGTACAAAATGTAAAATAAAAATAATCTCTTAACTATTATTTTTTTAAAATATAATTTTTTATTTAAAAGTAACTAGGTGAAAATTTTGAATCTTTAGTAGAAAAATTTTAAATCTAGAAAATTAAAATTATATTTAAATAGTGTAGATCTCACGGCAACTATAAGTATCATAATGCTCATAATACTCATTACTGTGATGAATATTGAAATTAATTCCGAAATGATAGAATCTCGGATCAAACATCTCAAGTGCATTTGCCCAAAAAAAGAAATTACAGCACAATTATCCATAGATTTTAAATAAAATATTAAATATAAATAATTCCTTTAAATTTCATTAATATTAATAGATCAAGAGATTTAATATTTACAAGTCAAAATATTGATGTCTAGGGTGGCATGGCATCATTTATAAGTCAAAACTATAAATTATTGTTTACAAATTAAACTTCTATATATAACTCAAGTATAAATTATTGTTTACAGATTAAACTTCTATATATAACTCAAGTTGTCTCATTTATAAATTAAATTTGTAAGCATTAAATTTTGTGAGATTATTAATATTAAATGAAATTCGAAAATCTATTATATTCGATTTTTCCATTTGGAATAATGGATAAAAAATTTTAAATAAAAAATGGGTAATTAAAATAAAATACGGCCATCATCATCATCATTTATAAAATGACAACACTAAAACGATGCGTTGCGTTCGATTGTGAAATCATGCTCATGGCTTCACGGGCGAAGGGCGAACCATTACATTTATACATCTGCGTTGTGCAATTTGGCGCATGTAAATTTTGCAGAGTTCATCCAGTCAACCCGCAAATCCGCAACCCCGACCCGCCAAAACGACCCCTCTGAACCCGAAGCTACTGTCATCTTCTTCACAACTTCACTCCATTACCGAATTGTACTGCGATTTGAGAGCAATTTCTCCGCAAACTTATCTTCTTTCTTCTATTGTGAACGAAACTTGTGAAGTGCATTATATGAGCTCAATCAGTTGAAGCCATAATTTGATTCCTGGATCCAACACTGTCACTTCATTACAGGCCTACAAGGTTTGCATTCGTCTCCAGTTGTTTTCATTCAGGAATTTGATTCCTCGATCTCTGTTTTTAGTCTTGGCGGATGACAGATTTATGATTCTTCCATTGTGCATTTCCTTGCACAAATTACGAGCAATATAACAGATCAAAACCAATCATGGGGTTACATTATGTGTTGTCTTTTTTACAGCTTGTAGTTTGAAAATGGCGTGGTTTAGTAGCAAAAATACATGGGGGAACTTTCCTGATTTGGCGGGTGCGGTGAATAAGCTTCAGGAGAGTGTAAAGAATATTGAGAAGAATTTCGATAATGCTCTTGGTTTCGAAGAGAAGTCTGAATCCAGCAATGAAGGTAAACATATTGTTCAAGTTCTCATCACTCTTGATTATTTTTCATACGGAATTGTCTATTATTTGAATTTGTGATATTGTGATTGAGATTATGGCTAAGCTTGTTAACAAGTACAAGCTGGGCGGTATTTGATACAGCTAGAGTATTTTTAAATGGTGTCCATAACGGTCTCGTAGTAACAAAGCTACGCGTTATGTCTTCCAGCCGCAGGTTCATGGCCTTTAGTGGCCGACAGGAAAACGCTATTTAATCCTGTTATGTCATTTATGGGGAATAAAAATGAGGAGGATACCGAAGAAACGCCTGGAGAACATAAATCCTCTGAACAGGAATCTGGAACTGAGAAATCATTGGAACAAACTGAATCTCCAGAACATCTACCTGAAGCTGAAGGAATAGAAAGCCGTGAAACTGAGGCAGTCCAGATTGAAACTGGTCAGGCCATCCAAACTGAAACTGAAGAAAGTACTGCTAGGGAAGAAAGTGAAGTGCATGAGATAGAGGAACGCGGTGACCATGAAGAGTCAACAGATGGAGCTGTCACATTGAATTCAGAACAAGGAAAGTCAGAACTTCCCTTACCAGTAGTGCCTGTTGAGCTTTCTGAATCCGTTGTTCAGAATGTTGAGAGTTCAGTTTCTATTAATGAACCCCAAGAGAGTGAGAATGCTGAAGTGAAAACTCCTACAAGTCCAGAGACACACACGCCTGTTAATTTTCAGGAGGATCAAGCTGCAGGTAATACTTTTGAGCCTGGTGAGTCAGATGGCCTTATTGAAGTGAGGGAGAATTTTCGAGAGAAAATCAAGGAGCAGAGGAGTGAAGAAGAGAGATTTGAGGCAAATGAGGGCATGGAAGGGGTTTCTCTTGTTCAGCCTGAGGCATCCAGTGACACCAAGAAAGGAGGTGACACCATGCCTTCTGTGTTATCTTCTGTGGCATCTGAGGAAATAAATAGTGTTGGTCAACCCAGTTCTATTCCATCATCATCTGAGGTGGCACCTGCTTTAGTTTTACATGAAAATGAATCAGCTGCTAATCAAAATGAAGGTGAATACTTATCCAATCATGCTGAATCTGACATGAAAGAGCAGCGTTCGAGTTCTGTAACAGTAGACTCAGATTCTGTGCTTGAACTAGAGAGTGTGAAGAAGGAGATGAAAATGATGGAAACTGCCCTACAAGGTGCCGCAAGACAAGCTCAGGTATTTTTTGTGATGCATGTAATTATGGTAATAGCAAAAAAATGAACTTGGTGAAGCCTATTTTATTTTATGTTCCAAGTGCCACGACTGCATGACAATGTAGGACTCAGGTCTTGTAATTGTTTAAGCAGGACAATCATAATCACTTGGTCTCTAGGTAGCACTTGTCATTGAAGAGTCTTATTTAGATGTCCTTTTCTCCTTAGTTGAGGACATGGCATGCCAAACTGTTTTTACATGAAAAATTAATTAGAATGATATGTCGTGTTTAGACAGTCAAGTTAATGCCCCTTCGCTATTGATGTCTTCTAGTTCTATTTCTGGACTGATTGATAAATGCACTACGATAAATTATTTGCTTCTGGAATCATTCTGTAGTCTATGCATTTTATTTTTCTCTGGTGCATATTGAGGTTGAATTAATGATATTCAACGTGTTTTAATTTAAACTTATACTTTTCATAGTCGTTGAATTAATTAAGCTTCCATTGGAGTCCCTCTAAATATTGTTGCCTGCCTTATTCTTCACTTATAACCTGCTAAAATCTGACTTCCACTTGTCAAAGATGAAGGAGTTAGCCTATCACTAGAATGGAGCTTTTACAATCCTTTTTCTTGTCTTTAGTTTATATATGAGCATGCACACTTGGTGTAATGGTGCTATCCGTTCTTTCATTTTTGTGATATTCTTTCATTTTTGCAAAATTGAAAATTTTGTTAATTCTCTCTGCAGGCTAAAGCTGATGAGATTGCAAAATTGATGAATGAAAATGAACAGTTAAAATCAGTGATTGAGGAATTGAAGGTATAATGTGTCTTTGTAGTGCAATGCAATCGGTGTCAAGTTTCAATTTACTTGTTTGCTTTCTTTCTTTTTCATTATAATTCTCAATTTGCCATGTCATTTTATGTAATCCATGCATTTCCCGTTTTCTATTAAACTATTTTTTTTTCCACAGTTGTGATGTGACATCAGATGCTTATGGTGTGCCATTCGACTTTTTTTCCCTGAGACAATTTGGCAAAATGGAAACAATAAAGTGATTAGATGGCTAATTGCGCTGGATTTTTAGGTTTTAAAGTAAGATAATGTATTGATATGTCACATATTGATAGTTCGGAATTTTAGCTCCTTTTGGGTTTATTTTCCCGATTCTCTTGGTCAGTTCTACTGTTCAAATGTCGTGTACATTAATCACAGACAATTTATTCTGCACTCTAAAAATTTATCATACAACTACAATTTTTGTTGAGTTTGTTCTTTGCTCGCTGCATTTTTCTCTTTTGGCCAATTTCAATATTCCTCTGTGGCTTTCTGAGAAAATCCTTGTGTTTCTCTATGTATGGCATACTTTTTTTCCTATTATACTGTATGTTTCTTGCTCATCCTGCTTCTTACTTCCTTCAAGATATTCATATTTGTTGTCTAATAATGGTGGAACAGAGAAACTCCAATGAGGCTGAAATTGAAACTCTTAGAGAAGAATACCATCAAAGGGTTGCAACCCTTGAGAGAAAGGTATAACTCCGCGGGATTCTTTTCTTTGTGCTTATCTAGCAAAGTTGAAAAGGGGGTGTATATAGGCTTCAGGAATTACATTCTAACCATGATCTTCTGCTAACTTCTTTACAATAGAAATTCACAACATATGCAGCTGCTTGCAGGTGAATTTTTCACATTGTGCTCTAGAAAAAAATGTTTCTCCGAATTTTCCTTTTAAAATTATATTTTGTTGGCAACTCTATAGGGGTCAATTTTTGAAAATCTTTCACTATTAGCCTTGCTTGTCAAATTTTTTTGGGTGTACTTTATAGTACAACATAGGTGTCTCGGACGAATTCTTGCAAGATCAGCACAAATGTCAAGCGTCTGGTTTTGATGGAAAACAAGTGAAGGCACTTGAGTTTCAGTAAAAGCATGGGAAATTCATGTTAACATTTTGTCAAATTTTTTTGAAGGATAATATTTATTGAAGTAGATAACAGGGCTAAGCATGTGTTTTAGGTTGTGATATAACCTATTTCAGGCTTTCAGCGACAACTGTTCTGGTTTTTATTCATTTCATGTGATTAATTGCAGGTATATGCCCTCACTAAGGAAAGGGATACTCTTCGTCGAGAGCAAAGTAAAAAAAGCGATGCAGCTGCTCTCTTAAAGGAAAAGGATGAAATAATTAATCAAGTTATGGCTGAAGGTAGATAAGTCTCAGGCTAGTACTAAATAATTGAGAAAATAATATCTACATGGTCTATTTTTGAAAAATGATGGGGAAAAAAACTGTACCATGATATCATCTAGACTTTAATGCATACAGATCTGATTTTGTCATTGAAATGCTTAGAAGGTTTGTGCGTCTGGAAGGAATATTCAGTATATGAACATTGTTTAGAGTGAAAAAAATCTATAGCATTAAAGTGGTGATTAGGGTACTTGTGTTTACAGCATTAAAGTGGTGATTAGGGCACTTGTGTTTGAAACTTAGTCGGATTGGGTAATTGACAATGCTGTAGGGCAACAATTAGTATCCGTTGAAGATAGATCTAGGACATTTATTATGTTGCAAATATCTGTATGAAGCTTTTATAGAGACAATATTCCAATGACTTCAATTAATGGCAAGAATTATAACAGTTACCTTGCTTGGGATTGGAAAATATCTGCTCCAAGGTGTTCTGACCACTTTGTCATTGAGGCTTTGATATTACGTCATTGTTGGGGACCATTTCATCCTAAATGCTTAAGCTAATAGGACAAATGAATGAGTTTATTAGCATTGATATATTTAAAACTTCTGATGGAATTGCGGGGAGTTAGTTGTCCTACAAGGCACAAGCATGCTTTTGGTGGAAACTTTTGTGCATGATCATCACCAAATTTTATGTTAGCATTTTATTTTTGGTTTACATTCCATCCTTTAAACATTATCTTGAGGATAGGCTTGGGAAGGCTTACATTGCATCATAAGAAGATTGTGTGCTAACTGTTACGTCATCCGTCATGTCTGTAAAATGTATACCGTCCTCCAAAGGACATTTCTTTTTGGAACTTTTAAGTTAAAACTTTATCCATCAAGGCAATGAACATTTTATTTAGTGGAGCATAAAGAGACTCTGCTTTTCAATTTTCTCATATCTCAGGGGAAGAGCTTTCTAAGAAGCAGGCTGCTCAGGAATCTGCAATCAGGAAACTAAGGGCTCAGGTATACAGACCGCTTATTGCAACTTTCCTTAAACTTCATTCTTTTTCAATGACTACATATCATAATAAATCCTTCACCTACTTTATTGATGAAAGCTAGATCAGAGAGCTTGAGGAGGAGAAGAAAGGTTTGACTACTAAACTTCAGGTAAAGTTTCAACCAAAAGCCTTGTTGAAATATTATTAGCTGGTGAATATTCTGAACAAATAAAATACTGTTATTTCCCCCACAAGGGAAAATGAGAAATCGGAAATTCCATCCAGCATCGATGGCACAACACTTCTTCAACTTTTGACTTTGCTGTTTGAGTTTGATTCACTTGTTACAGCTTTTTCATCACTTTGTATCTTTATATCGTGAATGAAAATAAGTAAATTTCTCCCATCATTAATGGTTGCATTTGTTTTCTTAATGTGATGCCTCCTTCATTGACAACACCATATTCCTCTATCTGGAGTTAGCAGTTTTTCATAACCCACATATTCATTAGTAAACTTAATTTTTGCTGTTGTGCTTAATTAATGGCATGTATCTAAGGTGGAGGAGAATAAAGTAGAAAGTATCAAGAGGGACAAGACGGCTACAGAGAGTTTGTTGCAAGAAACAATAGAGAAACACCAAGCAGAACTTGCAGCTCAGAAAGATTATTACACCAGTGCTTTGGCTGCTGCTAAGGAGGCTGAAGCTTTAGCGGAAGCACGTGTCAACAATGAAGCAAGAATTGAGTTGGAGACTCGTCTAAGAGAGGCTGAGGAACGTGAATCTTTGCTGGTCCAGGCGCTTGAAGAATTGAGGCAAACATTAAGTCGAAAAGAACAGCAGGTTGCTGTGATATTTTCTATCATTCTTTATGCTACATTGACTTTGCGATGATCTTGACTCTAATGTTTCATTTTCCATATTCAGGCAGTGTTTAAAGAAGACATGCTGCGAAGGGACATTGAGGATCTTCAAAAGCGTTATCAGGTGTGCTCCCTTATTTTCTGCATATCCTTTGATTGGTCATCATTTTAAACTTGTGATATGACTTTTAAGCTGGAAAACAAATTATGCTTCTTCTGTAGTCTATGTAATTTGGTTAATGCTATACCTAGGCAAGTGAAAGACGATGTGAGGAACTGGTTGCTCAAGTGCCAGAATCAACGAGGCCACTTTTACGGCAAATTGAAGCCATACAGGTGAACATTCTTTTCTTGGATTTAATTGGTATCATTATTTACAGAAGTTCTATTCCAGTCGGTTATTGAGTTCAGCTACAAGATGTTGATATCGAATAGCATCTTGATAACAGGAAACAAACGCCAGGAAAGCAGAAGCTTGGGCTACTGTTGAGAGAACCCTTAATTCTCGAGTTCAGGTCCCTAGAATATTTCCTGACTTTAGCTTCTGAAACTTTTCCTTCTTGATAATATTATGTACATATATATCATTATCTCATTGATTTTGCAGGAAGCAGAGGCTAAAGCTGCTGCTGCAGAGGAAAGAGAACGATCTATGAATGAACGCTTATCTCAAACCTTGTCTCGAATTAATGTCCTTGAGGCTCAGGTTCTGTTATTTCTTGAGTAAACTCGTGTCCATGATTTTTTTTAAAAAAATTATTTTAAATGCATAATATTTACACCAGTGATGAATTGCAGATTTCATGCCTTCGGGCAGAACAAGTTCAGGTAAGTAGGTCCCTCGAGAAGGAGAGACAAAGAGCAGCTGAAAACAGGCAGGAATACCTCGCAGCAAAGGAGGAAGCTGATCGTCAAGAAGGTCGTGTAAGACACCTTGAGGAAGAAATTAGGGAACAGCGGCAGAAGCACAAGCAAGAGTTACAGGAGTCATTGATGCATCGGGAACTTCTACAAAAGGTGAAGCTTATCTCATGGATTTGTAGTTGTTGTCATTTGTGTTACATGAAACTCTCAACTTGGCCATTAATTTTTTTTCCTTACATCCTTCTAATTGCTTGGGTGATGGAATTATTCCATAACAAATGGTTGATTTCTGATCACCTGGTCACTCAATCTTAGTAATCAGGATTGCAACCCTACTAGAATGTGTTCAGTTTAAGGATTCAAGAGCTAGATCAAATTGTGCATATTGCACAAGTTTATTGAATTAAATTCTTCATCTTCACCAGGAGATAGAAAGAGAAAAGGCTGCTCGAGCAGATTTGGAGAGCAGTGCCCTTGTTAATTCTACTCCATCATCTGATCAAACTTCTACTATGAAGAAAAATTATGCCGTTGAAAATGGTATGATATTCTGATTCATTTCACATTACATGTACGTTATTTTTACTATAAAATACTTAATCATGCAGGCAACCTGTCTCGGAAAGTCTCTAATGCAAGCTCTTTTGGGAGCATGGAAGAAAGCTACTTTCTGCAAGCATCCCTGGACTCATCTGATAGTTTCTCTGAGAGAAGAAACCCTGGAGATCATAATTTGAGTCCTTACTATATGAAGAGCATGACAACTAATTCTTTTGAAGCTGCATTGCGTCAGAAGGAGGGTGAACTTGCATCATATATGTCACGTTTGGTATGATTTGCTGTCCTACTTCCTTAGATTAATATATATTTGATTTGATTCAAAAGAGACTATAAGCCCCCAATAAATGTCAGTCTAGTTGGTAAAAATTTGGTTATAACTAACGGAAGGACTGTATTGGTGGGTAATCTGTTAATGTACTTCTATATACTTCATGAGCTGTCGGACTTGCCTTGGTCTTAATGGCTCTTAGAGCTCAACTTATGTAAACTTTTGTAAACCAAAGATTAAAAAAAAAAAAAAAAAAAAAGCTATAAGCCATATAGTTTATGCCACGCATGGGGCTTTAATCTAGAAAATGTCCACATCGTGGTCGAGGATGTTGAAATACATGTAACTTGTACTTAAACCTGTCATTATATATAATATGTACAATAACCTAGAGATAAGAATGGGCTAAACTAGCTAACCGTTACCTGTCATTATATATGATTTGTACAATTTATTTCACGAGACAAGATGACAATCTCGATGAATCTTAATTTTAACTAATAATTTCAGGCATCAATGGAATCTATACGTGATTCTCTTGCTGAGGAGTTGGTCAAGATGACAGAACAGGTGGGTTTCAGTCTTGAGTTAGTTTTAATTTTACTGATACTCTGATGCAATTGCTTGCCAGCATGACTTGCTTACACTCACTGCAGTGTGAAAAGCTGCGAGGAGAAGCTGCCACATTGCCTGGTTTACGAGCAGAGCTGGAAGCACTGCGGAAGAGGCACTCTGCTGCTTTGGAGTTAATGGGTGAACGTGACGAGGAGGTACTTTCTAAGGCACACTTTGTTGTTTAGATTTTACCGGGTTGCCTTTTCCGTACAACATGAGTAAAACCCTGTTGCAAATCTGTTGCAATACATAGCAGCCCAAACCAGCATGGCACGACCATATTACTCTCTTCTTTCTCCAAGAAAACCAAACAGAATAATAGCCTGAAAGAAATCCCCTATAATCTTCGTGTAGGAAGGAACCCCTTACGCGAGCCCCTATTCCTTAAAACGCAGCTCCGTCCCTGTGTGCTTCCCTTTTAGATGGTACTGATATTCAGCTTTAAGTATGGTTGGATAGCTCAGGGCATAATACATAAGATCACTGTAGCCATAATGATGATATATTTTTCCATAACAGTGCGCATATTTAAATTTATATCAATGCACGCAATGCAATCATTCCTGTTCCTATATGTGACAAGGGGCAAATTATACTAGAAAATGATGCTTGAGTGGGGGTACTCCCTGTACGGCTTTTATTTAATGATATAAAAGCATAAAAAAATGGTGCTGTGTATCTAAAAGTAGTTGAATGTGCCTAGCTGGAGGAACTTCGTGCGGATATCGTGGACTTGAAGGAAATGTACAGGGAACAAGTTAACTTGCTTGTGAACAAGGTATTTTGTTTTGTTTAATACTCCCTCCGTTCCTTATTATAAAAGACATTTGATGCTTATGGCATGTTCCTATATATAAGAGACACTTAAAAGTTGTCTCTAGTTTTTTGTATTGATTTCCTATTTTACCCTTATTTATTTTGTCTCTAACTCATACTCTCTCTTCCTCTTACTTCTTTTTCTTTTAATAATTTAATTGTTTTCTCTCATACTCTCTCTCCTTATTAATGAGGGCATTGTTGGAAAAAACATTATACTTTTTACACATTAATTGTCCTCAACTAATTTTAACTGTTTTTTTTATCAACGTAATTTGGTTATTTGTCTCTTATAATAAGGAATGGAGGGAGTAGCATTTTTCTCTTGGATATCCCTGTTACCTATCTCACACTTATTTTCTGTATTTTTTCCCTTCTTTATTTGACCTTGTTGGAATTTAACGTCGATACATTTGATTGCAGATCCAAATGATGAACTCGTCAGCTGATATAGCCTAATTTGGATAAACAGAGGGGGAAAAGGAAATTATTTGGAATTTTCGTGTCTTGAGTTTTGTTTGGTGTCAATAAGATTAGTTTTAGTATTTGAGTTTAATGCCTTAGGTCACTGGGTGGAAGCGTCGGGTGGGAGATGTATTTTTTTGTTGTTCTTGTCATGGTAGCAGATATACGTAAGCACCCCTACTAAATGTATCATGGATGAATGTTGTATAGTCAAATCTCTTTATAAGCCATTCAACGCTGTCATAATTAATCACTTTTGAGTTGAGGGTTTTTATTTTATTTTTTCATACTCATTAATATGCATTGTAAGATGCATAAGGAGTTGTTCAATTCATTATTCTTACATGCAATTGAAAGGCATCTACATAGTTTGATTAATATTTTTATTAATTTTGTTCGTCAAATCCTTTTAACAGTTTACCATTACTTTTGAGCGAATGTAGACGATTGAGGAGTCAATTTATTAAGAGGAGTCAAGTCTTTTAATCACACATGAATATGTGTTCTTTTTATTTTATCTAGATTTATAAACATTAAACTTTATGTGTTAGTATTTAAGAATGTTTTATCAATACTCATTTTGTTTCTTATGATAAGAGACGATTAACCAAATCATATTAATTAAAAAGTTGGTTAAAATTAGTGAAAAAAATAAATATGCAAAAAAATGTAATTTATTTTTTTAAAATACTTTTATTTATGAAAAATGTGGGTGGGAGAGAGAGAGTGTAAAAAGATACGTAAGAGAATGTATGGAAAAAAATGATAAGTAAGAGAATGTATGGAAAAAAATGATAAGAAAGACGTAATTAATTAGTTGAAAGTAAATATAGAAAAAAACATATTAAATGTCTAAATGCCTCTAAATTATTTTTTATAAAAAAGAAAAAAGAAGTGTCTCTTATAATATCACCATATTATTAACAATGTTAAGATCAAAAGACTAGAAGTATCTTTTTAAAATTAAGGGATTAAATTAAAATTTTCTATAAAGTTAAATAACTAAATGTATATTTCAGCCTTAGTTTTGTTAAAAATGATCTTATGACATACGAAACAAATATGTGAGAAGAGTTTTGTCTTGATTTACATAAAAAAAATACTTTTTAAAATTATTTTCGAAGGATGCTAAACTCGACCCAAGTGTCGTAGCAATTGCTTTTCTTCATGCCATCAGTGTTTAATTTTTATTTATTATATGGACACCATTATGAACCAGCACGCTGGTCGAGAAAAACATGAGGACACACCATTAAACATTTAAGCCCATCCTTGAAGCAGAGAACGACTGCTGTGCAGAAATATTGAGAATATACTACCTCCTCTTTCAGTTTTTAATATAAGATTTTATTTAATTTTTATTTTAGTTCTAAATATAAGATTACAATCTACTTTGTCTCTCATATTTATATATTTCTTTTCAAAGTAGTCGTTCTAACAATGGTAGTTTTAGATAATACATTTGATTAGTAAGGATATTTTAGAAAAGACAACACCTATTTAGGACAAATAATTAATTCAACTTACTTTTTTAATCTTTTTAAATTAGTCTACTAACTTTTATAATTAAAACCGAAAGTAGTATAATTTATTTTTAGCACTAATAAGGATAATTTTACCATATGTAAGCATTCATGTAATCATGTCTGCCAATAAAGTCGAGAGTTTGAACTTTATAAAAAGATGACCAATTTTATAGAAATTTGTAATGATTATATTTCTTCGTACTAATTGAATGAAAGTGACATATATTAACGCAAGATAACTCAGATACATAGTCCTATATACTTAATTAAACTTCTTGCTTCCAGTTAAATTAATATGAGTCTCACACAAAAAAAGTTAAATTAATAGAAGTGGATTTAAATTTTTATAAGAAATAAAAATTAAAATAACAAAGGTTAGTTAGAATGTAAATCATGAATTAAAAAAATACACGTGTGATTGTGGGATTGAAAACAAGGACCAGGAATATAGAAGGCCTGGATTTTTTCCAAAAGTTAAAATTTAATGTTATATACTGACATTTTAAACTTATATAAATATGTGATTACAATACTACTTCCGGTTCTTAATATAAAAACTAGTTAACTAATTTAAGTATGTTAAAAAATTAGTTACATTAACTATTTGTAATAAATAAGTATTGTCTTACCTAAAATACCTTTACTAATCAAATATTATTTGATTAAATATTTAACATGTGTAACTACTGAAAGGACTACTTTTAAAAAAAATGAATAAATATAAGAGACAAAGTGGATTGAAATTTTATATTTAGAACTAAATTAAAAATCAAACTAACTCTTATATTAATGACAGGAGGTAATATATCACTATTGGATATGGTAATACTCCTCCGGTCCTTAATATAAGACCCATTTAACTAATTTGATTAGATTAAGGAAGTTAGGTAAGTTAGTTAATTATAAAAAAAGTGACACATTTTTCCTAAAACACCATAATCATCTTTCTTAATACCACCTCTCCCTCTTCTACTTGATTATAGTTGAGAGAGTATCTATAGGGGTAATTTAGAGAAAATTGATAAATATGAGAAATGGGTCTTATATTTAGGACCAAAACCAACTCAAGAATTGGGTCCTATATTAAGGACCGGAGGAGTATTATATTTGTGTTTGAGGTCAACCGCAAAATTGTAGCAAGCCTCATTTTAGTAGTTAGAAAATAATAAATGAGCGTATATGGTGAATTGGATATACCTGAGTCCTGAAATAAAACATGTTCTAAGCAGTGTATTGATAAATACTACCTCCTACCTAATTATAAGAATTAGTTAACTAATTTGAGAAAATTAAGAAAAGAAGTTAAGTTAGTTATTTGTAATAAATAGGTATTGTCTTTCCTAAAATATCCTTACTAATCAAGTGTATTAGCTAGAACTATCATTGTTAGAAGGATTACTTTAGAAAAAATACATAAATATAAGAAACAAAATGGATTAGGGTCTTATATTTAAAACCAAAATAAAAATTAAATAATATCTTATATTAAGGATCGGAGATAGTAGAATTTTCAGCCATGAAGCACCAAATGCTGCATAGCAAAGCCAATCAGCTAAAGAGACCGCGTCTGTCGAAAGACTCATTCTAATTGTGATTTGGCTTTTCGAAAAACTACATTTCATCATCTCAAGCCTTTAATTTAAAATTATAACAAGATATTTTGACAAAAAAGCGACACTTTTTGCGGTCCTCGAGTAAAAGGGGGGAAAAAAGAAAAAAGAAAAAGAAGGGATGCTATATTGCACTCTAAAAACCAAGTACTAAAGTTGCTTTTAAGCCATAATTTGATGAGAATAAGCTTTGTTTCACTAAGGTAAACTGTATACATTACATGACGTCAATCTTAGGCCTTAATTTCACAAGCCAGTCATTTCGACTTTTATTTACTTATTTACAGGTTATTTCTGGAACATCATGGTAAAATTGAACATGTACGTTAGAATAGGCTTGGCAACAAGCTTAAATTTGAACCTAACCTATTTACTAAATAGGATAGACTCAACTCAAAGCAAATTTAGCCGTAAACTCTTGATAAGAGTTTAATATGCTTTCACCCCAAAAATATGTATATATTAATTTTATAAAACAGCGTATAAGCTTTAAGATGCTTATGCATATATGTACAAAATAAAAATATAGCTTGTACGGAAATAATTTTACTCTGCAAATAGTATAATCTAGCTATAAGTCTTACAAAATAAAGTTATAACTACTTAAAAATTTAAATGTAAATATAAAAAATTGAAAACTATCCAAAAACCATTTTTATATATACATATAAAATTGAATTATAACTTGAACATGACAAGTTGAAAATCAAGTTAACATTAGATCTGAAAAATAAATTTTAGTACCACCTCATGTCCTTAATATAAAATATAGATTGTAGTTTAAATTAAATTGAAAACTAAATTTTATATTAAGATAATTGAGCTTTGTAAGAATATTTTCATTCATCAAATTTTAATTTTTTTATGAGTTTAAAATCTTAGCGATTTATGCATCACCGGGCGTAAGGGGCGTAATTGTCATTTACGCTATTATCACCGTGCCGATAATGCATCATCAACTGACACGTGGATATGTCATTCACTGCCGTGGCATCGGGTGACAGGTGCAAAGGTGGGAGTGAAAAGGGTGCAGCGGATTGTTGCTCACTTCTTCTTACGTGAACGTAAATGAACAGGTGTTAGCCTGGGAGAGCTCTGAGCTTTGTTTAACGGCCAATTATGGTTAGTATGAGTCTCGTGGCTCCCTTGCCTTGCCTCTTCCTTGAATCAATCTTCCCATCTTGCTCTTTCTCATCCTCATCCTGCGCATTTTAGCATCCACCTTCGATCGAAACGGTTTCTCTTTCTTCTTCCTCACACTTTTCAGTTGAAGGCTGACACTCACCTCTACGCCGCCACCTCCTCGGCCCATTTTAGCCGCCACCACCGCTCTTCTTCATCTTTTGTCTTCACACCCCCCCTCTTTTATTTCAACGGCAACAGTTTCCATTGTTCTCTATATTTGAAACTTAAAAGTATTTACCAGATAACAAGGTACGCAATATCCTTGAGATATCTCACTTTCTCTTCTCTGCAAGTAAATGGATGCATCAATGTACATGACTAGGTCTTTATTTTTTGCCCGTATATGATCTCCAGTTTTGTGATTGTAGCGTGTAAAGAGAAGGTTTCTAGTTTTCATGTTTTGTATGGCTCTAGTTGGTTTCGATAAAAATGGTCAGATTTCAGATTACCCGTTGTTGGAGATAACAATCTGGGAGAACTATTCTGTTAGTGTTCTTATTTTTTTACATGTTAGCAAAATGAAATTCTCGAAGTGTAAGATCCGAGAAATTTCTTAACAACGCTCTTGAATTCGATCTTGTTGATTGTGTGCTAACTGATGAGTTCTTTGGTTGCTGTTTGTTAAGGTGTTAAAGCACTCGAGAAGGTACTTCGTTATATAAGTTTTGGGAAGGTATATATACAAATCACTTCGCCATGCGGGGAAGGCAGCGAGTGTCATCCAGGGAACACATAACTGCGTACGATAAAGGAGAAACTTCGGGTATGATATTATCCAGTTTGCCACTTACTAAAACCGTCCGGTCATTGCTACTTTTTTGAAAAGATATATACTATATTTGCTTGTTTTTCCAAAGTTTGGGGTAAGTAGATTCACGTTTCTTTTGAAATGAAAAAATGGCCCTAAAGTGTGACTATTGTATTATGATTACTTTCAAGAGTTGTCAATAATATCCAATATAACAATGGAAATGAATATAGCATCTTGAAGTAAGCTCTTGTGGGGAAATGGAAAAGTCGACCATTTCTTTAAAATGAATCTTAGACTGCTTAGTCTAGCAGTCCGGCAAAACTTTTGATTGAATCATATGTTTCTGTTTGCATGACAGTGTATTTTCATGAATACCATGCAGATTAACAAATATAACTTCCTTTTTCCGGTTACATATGCGATTAAATACTAATTTCTGAATAGACATAAAAATGGAGTATACAATCTTAAAACTAATTCCTTAATTGTGATATTTGGTTTGATAAGAAGTGAGAAAAGAAAGTGCATGCATACATACATGCATTAGAATGCATGACCTGGCTTATATATTTAGGAAACTCTGTTTAACAAGTAAATGAACAGTGAGCTCCTATCTCACCTACAATTTGCTTCCCCAATGTAATTTACTTTTAAGGGAAGAGAAAATTGTTATATATTGATGTTGCTGACAAGAAGAATTTCATTCTTCATGGCTTAGTACGCTTACTGAATGGTAAACCTTCTTGGCGGAAATCTTTGCGGCATGTATTAGTGGCTTCGATTTCTTCTTTCTTATTCGGCTACCACCTTGGGTATGTACTTTGAACCGTGACCCTCCTTCATTTTTCTTATGTGTGTGAATTCTGCTTTGTAAAAACGATCTATTTTCTTATAACCATTGCTGATGCAGAGTAGTCAATGAAACCTTGGAAAGCATTTCATTAGACCTCGGCTTTAGTGGGAATACCATGGCTGAAGGTAGTTATCTGGTTGAGATTAGATATTTGTTTATCATGTTATGCTTATCCGAAAAAATGATGTACTTCTTTTCCATATTGTGTTGATGAAGGTCTTGTCGTAAGTACATGTTTAGGAGGGGCTTTTGCTGGGTCCCTCTTCAGTGGGTGGATTGCAGATGGTGTTGGACGCAGGAGGGCTTTCCAGCTGTGTGCTCTGCCTATGATCATTGGGGCATCAATGAGGTATTTACTGTATAATTTATTTTTTTTATTTGTAGCTCTATCCAATCTTTTGTTATCAGACAAATTTATTGTTTACAAAGAAAGTATAAAAGCTCTGTTGTTTACTGACAATTTATACCCAAGCTAATATAGTATCATTCTATTTTTATTTATAAGTCACTTATGCCACAAACTCGCAAACTAAGAAATGCATTAAATTGATAATTTTTTTCTACATTTTCCCTTATTAGATAAAGGGTATTGAAAATATGTTTTATATTTTCTCTCATATATTTACTTTATCTCTCCATGCATTTATTAAATCAATAAGGGTAAAATTAGAAAAAGTTTATTAGTTACCCTACAAGTAACTTATATTTAGGAACAAATTTTTTTCTACAAGTGACTTATAGGCTTAGTTGCTCTGTGGGGTGAGAGGTTAATTTCCTTCCTGTTTTTGTTTTTTCCCCTTATGGCACATGACATAGCAGAACGTTATTGTGTTCTAATGGCTTTAACTTTTAATTAATTGGATCTCCTGCAGTTCTCGGAAAATGCGGACAAATTTTATCATTCTTGCTACTTTTCAGCTAGAAGTTAGTGAAAGCAATTATCTTTTGTGTTACTCATCCCTCAATTTAACCCTACTCATTTATTAATCCTTTGAATCTGTGTTTAAGCTGAGTTTCTCAGTTTTCTCTCCTTGATAGATAAGAAGAAATTATATTAAGATGGAAAAGTACAGAACAGGAGGGACTTCCATACAAACACAAGTAGAGCACAAACCTCAGCAAAACCAGAAAAGTCAGACATACAAGAAAGCTCATTAATCTCCCTGGAAATCTAAAGAAGGAATTCCTAAAAAGAGTCCATAAGGTGAATACAGGAGGGAAGCCAAAATCCAGTCCTATCCTGCAAACAATCAAACAGATGAATAGGTTCCCTTCAAATCTTGGGTATTCTTCTATAGCCAGAAGCACCATAACACTGCGAAAACACCCAATACCACTAAGCCTTAGCCTCATTATTTCAAACAGGACCTCATATCTGAATAGGGAAAAATAGAAGAAACTGAGAAAGATAGTTTTATAACTAATAATAATCTGAAGCGAAACGGAACTGCTCTTCACCAATTTTCTTTTTTCTTTCTTTTTTTTTTTTTTGGCTGTATCTCATGCTTTAGTTTGCAAAATATAACAGCAGATAAAGCTACAAACTTACTGATCATAAATCTTGTAGTGCAACAACAAAAAGCCTGTGGGGTATGCTTCTCGGAAGGTTATTTGTCGGTACGGGGATGGGACTTGGCCCTCCTGTTGCAGCTCTTTACGTGACTGAGGTAAATGAGACACCATATTATTTTCTACATTACGAATCACATTATTTTCAATAGCAAGTGGTCATTTTATTTTTCCTGAATACTTACAAGTACCCGTTTTCATTTGTAGGTTTCACCTCCAACTGTAAGGGGTACTTTTGGGAGTTTGACTCAGATTGCAACATGTCTTGGAATTATGGGTGCATTACTTGTTGGATTCCCTGCCAAGGAGATAGTGGGTTGGTATGAAACGTTTAAATGGACTTCTATAGAGAAGTTCATGGAGTTATTTGTCTCTAGAGTTATATATCAATTCCAGATTTCAATATTTTTTATTAAATATTTTCAGCTCTATTTTTTAAAAGTAGCATCTCAAATGGAACAATTTTCTCAGGTGGAGGATTTGTTTTTGGATATCTGGCATTCCTGCAGCAATACTTGCCTTTGCCATGGAATTCTGTGCAGAGAGTCCGCATTGGCTTTTCAAGGTTATACAGTTTCCTATGTCAATCAATAATAAACTGAATTTCAAATAAACTGATCCGGTCACTTTTTTGTGCCGCATTTGACTATCTTTCACTCCTTTGATTGAGGTATGGCTTATTGAGTAGAATGAATTAATGGAAATATTTGGTTCCTGATCATACTTACAGAGATATTAGTCGGAAGGAACTATTACTGGCTGACTTGTGATCAAACAACCATGTCCGTTTTACCTTCCATTGTCTCTTTGTGACTGATGCGAGTTATTTAGTTTCTTGACTTTTTCATCGTAAAGGTAGAAAAAGAAAGACTTTTCTTTATGTTCGTTCCAATCTATTATTGTACATTGAGCAATTTATTTATACTAAGAAAATCGAGGCAATCTCAGCCTTATTGACTTTTTCTTCTTTTTCATTTTGGATTGATCAAGCCTACTTGTGCAGAGAGGCACTTATAATTCTTTGGGTTTTATCAGAGAGGAAGACGTACTGAAGCTGAAGCTGAATTTGAGAAACTCTTGGGCGGGATACATGTGAAACCTGCAATAGCTGAATTGTCAAATGACAGAGGTGATGAGTATGATACAATCAAACTTTCAGAATCACTCTACAGTCGTCATTTCAAAGGTGTCGTCAAAGTCTATGTACAATTGTTTTTGTACAATAATATATATTTGTTTCTTCAAAATGATTGCTTAACCTCGAAAACATTTTGCAGTGATGTTCATTGGATGTACACTTTTTGCTTTACAGCAGCTATCTGGCATTAATGCTGTTTTTTATTTCTCTTCAACTATCTTCAAAAGTTTTGGTGTGCCATCAGATCTTGCAAACACTTGTGTAGGAATTTGCAATCTAGTGGGTATGCATTGGCTTTACACCGTAGTATTTTTGCTGTTTTCATTGTACGGTGCGTATTTTCTCTCAACCATGTCGTCCCTTCAGGGTCAATTCTTGCAATGATTTTGATGGATAAACTAGGAAGGAAAGTGCTTCTCCTGGGGAGTTTCATGGGCATGGTGAGAAATTAAAAAAGTTGTTATTTGGCTTATTTGATTTTTACTATGCATGATTGTTTTCTGCATAAGCGTTGACCTGGAATATTTTATGGATATTAAATTACTCTGTTTTGTCTGTTGTTCATGTATGTCATCTGTGGTTTCAAGGTATCTAAAGGATATAAATTGGAGTTCCAAATTTTTTTAATAATTTAACATACAACTAACGCAATCATTCTGAAGATTTTTCAATTTTTGGGAATTTATCTTGATTCTGTTTTATAGTCTTGGGGACATTTAGGTTGTGCTTGGTGGGAGTTAAAGTAGGAAGGTGAAAATGGCAATCCGTCTAAATCATATATTTTGCCCAAACATTTTCAGTTTTCATTTTTATTTGCACACTAGTTAGAGTAGATCAAGTTATGAATCTGCTATTGAAGGATTTCTTAAAAGCACAAGAGAAATATTATTTTAGTTATAGGGACTTCTGTAACCGCAAAACAAGGCTCATGCACATTTAATTACACCTTCCATTCATTTCAACACGCTAGCTGAGAATTATTGTCTGACATTTATTCATATTGCTGATCTAGGTTGTATCATTGGGTCTGCAAGTCATTGCTGCAAGTTCCTTCGCATCAGAATATGCAGCCATGTATCTATCTGTCGGTGGCATATTGATGTGAGAGCCCAGAAAAGTTCATCTTGCTTGGACAATAGAAAAGAGTAGAAGAAATTATATGAGAGAAGAAAAAGAAAACCGAAAAGAAATATAACTACAAAATTCAATATTTGTTAGTTGTTGCAAGTATTTAATATGCCTTGGTGTTATTGCTGAAGCCTGTTCCTTTGATATTCATGCAGGTTTGTCTTGTCTTTTGCTCTTGGTGCTGGTCCAGTTCCTGGTCTCCTCCTGTCAGAAATACTTCCTAGCGCAATCAGGGCTAAGGCAATGGCAATTTGCATGGCTGTTCATTGGGTAATTTTATTCTGCATTCGTTTTCTTTAGTGCTTTTTAAAATCATTTTGGTGATTGCTATGTCAAAGGAAGCAGCAAAATTGTTTGGACTACCGTATGAGTTAAATTCTTCCATATCAATCTTTACATCATAAAACAACATGCATGCATGGATGAACATAGGTTAGGTCCTCATTATCATTTCCCCTTTTATTGTATCCCAAGCTGGTTTCCTTTGGTTTATCTATGTGTGAGATTGTTGGTACATTCTTCGACAGGTTATGAACTTCTTTGTTGGTCTACTATTTTTACGCTTGTTGGAGCAAATCGGGGCACAACTCTTGTACACTATTTTTGCTTCATTCTGTCTGATGGCGGTGATTTTTGTGAAGAAAAATGTTGTGGAAACAAAAGGGAAGTCTCTTCAAGAAATTGAGATGGCACACCTTCCCCAAGAAGCAACATAAATGATATATATGGATGAGGCATAAGTCATATTTTCATTCGCTGAATCAGTTGTGCATTGCACAACTCTGGCAAAAACTCGAAGAATTTGCAGAAAGTTGAATTTTATGACTTGAATACATGTGCTGGAAATGTTCTGCCTCATGCATCAGTCTTATTGAGCTTGTAAAGGGCCTTTCATTTTTTCCTATGCTTGGGCTCAGGAAAGTATGAGGATTCTGAACCTTAACACGCAACAACATCAGACAGAAAACAATAAAGCGTTTTATATTAAAGTCCAACCATTCTTCACCTTCAGGAAAAAGAAAAGAAAAGAAAACTAACCAATGAAAAGGAATGTATTTATCTTACTCGTTAATTTTTTCTTCCTTTTCCAACTTTCATATGGAGTTGCCACCAAAGTCCAAGTGCGGAAGGATCATCTTTATAATAAAAATTTTATTACTTCTCTCAAGCATCACCTTTAAACGTTTTCGATCTCATCGGAAACCATATATAATATGCTTACTTGTGGGGGGAGGGTGTAATGAGCAGTTTGTCAGGACGAAAGTGGGCTTATGCAAAGGGAAAACAACTTTCGTTCAAGCAAAATCATGTTTCATTATCTTTCCATTGTGAGAAGTGCTCGTATTTGATGTTCAATAATATTTTGAATAGAATGACACCTATGACTAAGAACAAAAATATTTCATTATACCTGTTGTGATTTTAACCTCAAATGTCGAAAAGGGAGCTGACAAAAAAATGTTGTGAAGGGAAGAAACAGCAAGGGATGAAACATTTAAATTATAACAATCTCCTGCATTTAATGTTGATTAAATTATAATCAAAATCAATTATCTAATTAGAGGAGTATCTTTGCATTTACATAACTTCATATGTCAGAGATCGAACCCCAAATAATTTTCTTAAGCGGCACATAAGTATGGCATATATGTTTTTCTTTTTCCTTTTTGGCTCAATTTGCCTCACAAGCCAGATCCAATGGTCAATTATTGTTTGTTGTTCAACGACCCGTTTGGAGCTCGTGACTTGTTGGTGTTACCAAAACGGCCGCACTCTCACCAACAAGCCAAGATTTGGAATGGCGAAGTTGATTTTCATATACACAATCATAAGCCTAAGTCAGAAGTTCTTCTAGGGGCAATGGGGCATGTCATCAGTGTTTACTAAGTTCTGAGATGGAAGAAGATACCTTTGTGTCTGTCCAATCCACGCTCGAGTTGCTAAGAACCGTTTCGGAGCATGCTTCTGAATCTGGTCGACGGATTCTATTTCTATCTACGAAGGACATTCGAGTAGCTCAGGCCCGCAAAGGCTTCCTCCTTTGTCATTACATCGTACCCAATGGCGTGGCAGTAAAAATCTGTGACTACCCCTTATTCGTTCAATCACCTTTATTCCAGTTTCTGTCCTTGAAAGATTCGTGCTTTGATTTCCTTGGTTTTGTAGGATGAAAATGGAAATTGGCATGCCGGAGCAATCGCTACGTTAATTGACAACATTAGCACCGTGACCACCTATTCCTATGTTCCTGTCTTCAATGTCTCTGTCGATTTCTCCATATCAATCTTCTCTGCAGCAAAGGTTCAGGTAGTGTTTCTTTCTTGTCCTTTCTCTGTAATCTTGGAACCAACATTTTCTTTCCCCAGAAGCCAAACGGGGGTCATCTACTTTTGGAAAGAAGTTTGATGGATAGTTTGGGATTGCAAAAAGATCACATTTTTCTTTCGTGGGTCAGTAAGTTGAAAAAGTTATGTTTGAATGACAGGAAGAGATTGAAGTAGAAGCCAAGGTTGTGGGAAAGAAGGAGAGATTAACATGTGTGGCTGTTCAAATTAGGAAGAAAGGGAACGGACGATTGATTGCTTTGGGCAAGCAATGGATGGCAACGACTAACACCATTGCAAGCCATCAAGCCAGTAAGCTCTGAAGTACAAGTGTTTTTTGTAGACACATTTATAAGCAGCTCTTTAACTGTAATCTACAGAATACGAAATAAACATGTGAGAAGAATTTTGTCTCAATTTATATAAAACGTGTTTATAAATTATTTTAAACATCATGCCAAGAGGCATGAAGCCTCTGGTTTTCTTTCCCATAAACGCCATTGTCATTGGGTGATAAAGTCTTCTTTTTGGTTTTATGGACCGACATGGATTGCTTGCAAAACTAAACGTATATATAGTCCGTTGCTCCTTCATTGTGTCTGCCTAGAATATATTCTTTTGTAACATCCTTGTTAGTGTCTTACTCCAAGATTTAGCCATATCTATTTTCATTTTTGGTCTTTTAGAGTAGCGAATTTACCCGCTGATTAAAATGTTATGATGGGTGTTAACATAAAGATCAAGAGCCAATTTAAAAAGAAGAAGAAGAAAAGTCAAAATAAAAAAACAAAAATTTTGCTTTCATAATATGAATATTCCCTATCCTCGATTAGAAGATTTAAAAACTCACAAAATGAAAAATCATACTAAAACCAATTCTACAACCTTTTAATTATGACTTCGAATCACAACGGAGGAGAAAATTAAGCATGGAACAACATTCTTTATTATAAACTTTTTTGTTAATTTTTTTTTTTAGAGAAAAGAGTTGAGGTGTATTCAACATCATAAACTATCCTATAGTGTATCAAGCGTCCTAAAAAAATTTTTTGTTTGTTTTGGTGTTAGATGCATCAAAAAATATTTTAAGGTGTTGGACGCATCTAAATAAAATACTTCAAAATATTGAATGCACAAAAAATATTTCATAGTGTTGGAAGCACTTAAAAAAAATATTTTAAGGTGTTAGATGTATCACAAAATATTTCAGGATACTTGATACATCTTAACTTTAGAAAAAATCACTCTCAAATAAACAATAAAATAAGATTAAAATAGAGATGGAATGACACTTAAATTCTGAACACCACCCTTAAACTTTTTACATCTCATCGGAATAAAAATATAATAAGCTTAAAACAATATGAGAATATTAAAGATATAGTGTAAAAAATTTACAGGTTTCAAAGATAACAAAAAAAAAAAATTGGTTTCCCAAAGTATCCTCCCACTCAAACAGTAAGAGACTAATCTCTTGAAATACAGTCAAGTCTCTAAGATATTAAGATATCTAAATCTCTTTCAGTTGGACTAATGGTAACAGTACTCAAATTCTGTCTGTTAAAAAAAAATGTTGCTTTTATTCAGAAGCCAAAGGCCCAAAGCAATTATGTAAATTAACAGGTTTTTTTTTTTTTTTGTTCATGACTTCATATTCGGAACGATCACAACCACACATATTGGAAGTGGCGTGTACTATGCAGTGATGTTATTTCCATTTTCCACAGTGCAATGGCCAAATGCTTCTTATGCTTTAATGGAACCACAAATGATCGCATGAATGGTCTCCATTCATTAGAACATCGCCCAGAAACGCTACTGAAACACACAAGTCATCAGAGGACCTTGACTTTTATAACGATGGTTGTGAGCCCAAATTATTAGAAGTTTTTCCATAGCCATGTCGGATTTTGCGAATTTCAGAGCAGAGATGGAGGAAGGTACCTCTCTGCAATCTTCCACCCACAAGTTGCTAAAAGCCATTTCGGAGCGTGCTCGTGTTTCAGGTCGGCAGGTTATAGCTTTATCTATCGACGGTATCCGGGTAGCCCAGGCCCACAAAGGTTTCCTTCTTTGGAATTACATCGTACCCATTGGTGTATTAGTAAGAATCTGTGACAGTCTAAGCGTCCTTCGTTCAATCGCTGTTTTCCCTCACTATGTCCTTGAAAAATTCATGCTTTGCCTTTTTAGGATGAAAATGGAAATTGGCATGCCGGTGCAATCGCTACGTTAGTTGACACCATTGGCACCCTTGCGACCTTTTCCCTTGTTCCTGCTTTCAATGTCTCTGTCGATTTCTCCATATCCTTCTTCTCCACGGCTAAGGTTCAGGTAATGTTTCTTTCTTTCTTTCCCTTTCTCTGTAATGTTTGAATCAATATTTTCTATGCCCAAGAGCCAACCCACCGCGATTTCAAAGTGGGGTAATCAATAAATAATTGCTTTTGGAAAGATTACATTTTCATTTGTGGATCAGTAACTTGGGGGTTATCTTTTAATGACAGGAAGAGGTTGAAGTAGAGGCAAAGGTTGTGGGGAAGAAGGAAAAATTAACTTGTGTGGCTGTTCAAGTTAGGAAGAAAGAGAATGGAGAATTGATTGCTTTGGGCAAGCAATGGATGGCAGCTACTGACATCAATGCAGTCCTTCGAACCAGTAAGCTCTAAAGAACAAGTCCTTGTGTGTCTAGGAGACTTTGGTGTTTTTGGTTTTCTCACCCGTAGATGCTGTTATATTGGAAAAGTTGTTACTGGATAAAGTCTATTTGCAATTTACATTCTGCAGATCTGTTCCCCCCCCCCCCCTAATGGACTAACAGGGATTGTATGCAATGATATACGCATATATAGCCTTCTCTAGACATGGGGAAAGGAACATAAGAATTTTAATTGATTTCGTATTACTGCAGGGTAAGCCCTGGGTCTTTTACATTCAAATTTGGATAAACGCTTTCTTTCTTTTTCCCCTTACCCATCCTCCACAATCCAAACGTGCCCCAGTAAGGAATATTAGAATTGAATCTTGCTGTAGAAGATGTATTGTTTATTTTAAGTGATTTTGCAGGTATGTGGAACGAGTTTTGTTTTGTAAAACAAAACAAAAAAAATACCTTTTTTTAAGGAGCCCAGTGCGAGTTTTCTCTGATTAATATAATAGCCTTAAATGATGGGCTGTTCTGCAAGACTGCAAATTATAGTGACATCTGGAAGTTTGGGTTGAAAATTTTGACATCCACGAAGAAGTAGACAATTCATGATCTACAACCTGTGCTTATTATATTGGAAAAATCAGATAATATGATTTTTTATCTTAAGCGGCAAGCACTGAGCCTATTTTAAACTAATTTATTGAAAAGTTCTAAACATTGCAAGTCTATCTTATTTTGACCCGTCAGTATTTTAATGGCATATTTGAAGCACTGTCTGACAGAAAAGTCTTCTCAACTCTTGATAACACGGAAGGCTCTGAGGATCTTGTTTGTAGGTATGTCTAAGAAAACAAAGATGAAAGATTCCTCTCTGCAATAAAATATTGATAATGACGTGGAAACATTAATTACAGAACTTACCAGAATGTTCAAGGCTGACAAAGGTTTTCCCCCTTGTGATTTCATTGTACACGGGGGCTTATCATTAAACATCTCCCGATTCACCCCTGCGTTTTGATCAATCATCAGTTTCCACAATCGTAAAAATTTAATCATTTGGATTTTAGGTGCTGTTCAGTTGAATTCTTGCCATGTGCTTGCAGTTTGCAAGATGAAAATAGAATCTGTCATGCAGAAGCAATCACTGCTTTAGGGGGTGTTTGGGATATCTCAAAATCACTTAAAAAAGTGCTTTCACGCGAGGGTTCAGGTTATCTTCTTTTTTTTCTTTTTCTAATATTGACCTTTCAAAATCAGATTGTTTCTGAAGAAGTTTTTAATTATGATGCAGTGATACTTGGAACAGGGAATCACAATATATCTGATCTACATAGTTTCTTGGTTTATAGAAGTATTTAGTTATAAAGCATTAATGCACAGAAAAGGGAATCATAATTTATCTTATCTACATAGTTTCTTGTTCTATATCCTAATCAAATAACTACCTTTTAGTCATGAATCCAAATTTTCCTCTTCCAAATCGCCCAAACTCATCTTCTTCTTTTTTCTCTTGTTGAAAAGTTTCACCATAAGCAGAACATAACCAGTAACATGGTGAATTGGCTTCCCTGTGAGCATGGCTATGTGAGATTTGACAGTAATGCAATACTGAATGGAGATGGGAGTGGATCATATGGTGGAGCGATTAAGGATGAACATGTGATGGACCCAAAGCCAATGGGCTTTTATCTAAGGGGCCAACGCTAAGGCATCTGGAGTGTGTGAGGTCTGTGTGAGAGACAGAGAGGCTGTTTGACGAGTATATTTTGGACAAAAAGTGAGTGTTTGTGAGGGAGAGACTCTAATCTCTCAAAAACTAGGGAACCAGTGAGTGAGTATGTGGATTTTCTGTCACTTTCTCATCTTATTTTCTCTGTAGTTTTCTGGTTAGACCTGCAGTCTTCCAGATTGTTGCTCGTTTTGATGTAAATTTGCGTAGTGGGTTCCATCAGTATCGAAATTGGATTGTTGGTTTCTGTAGTAAACTTGATAGGTATCCACTGGTAATAGCAGAACTCTAGCTTTAAAAACTGGCTTGGAAGTGTGCTGGAACTAGGATTCAGAGATGTGGAAATTTATACTGACAGTGCTGAAACCCTTAACTTGCCTGCAAGGGAGCACGGCAATAATCATCGGTATCAAGATATTCTTCAGGAGTTGACTTTAGCGAGGCAGTAATCATCGGCATCTTAAGGAGTTGACTTTCTTCTTTAATAGAAATTCAAATGTAGCACCATGGTATACGAGTTCAACGGTCCTCACAAACAAGAGGGGTTTCAATCCAATCACACATAATTATATATTCTATTTTTAAAATATTATTATTAAACAATAAATTCACATGAACAAAAAAAAAAAGACACATAATCATTTATAATTGAAGAATTTGACATAATAAATATAAAGTTTAATGTAAGTGTTTTACTTATGACATTTAACTAACATAATATAAATATTTCAATATAAGTTGTATATATATATAATACCATCTTGGGTCATTAATACAAGAGCTGGTTGAAAATTGAATTTGATTATAAATATATTACCTCCAGTCCTAATTATAAGAATTAGTTGACTTAATTTGAGGAGATTAAAAAAAGAAGTTAAGTTAGTTATTTGTAATAAATAGGTGTTATCTTTCTTAAAATATCGTTGCTAATTAAATGTATTGGTTAGAACTACCATTGCTAGAAGGACTACCTTGGAAAAGAAAACATAAATATGAGAAATAAAGTGAATTGAAGTCTTATATTTAGGATCAAAATAAAAGTCAAATAAGATTTATATTAAGGATCGAAGGTAGTAATATCTTAATACTTTTTGTCCCACTAAATTTGTAATTCATTCTCTCAAATGGGTCTGTATTGATTACGCGAGTTAAAGGGTAGTTATAATTAAAAATGGTATTTTAGAAAAATTAACTTATATTTGTTACAAATAACCAACTTAATCAATTTTTTTAATCTACTGAAATTAATAAATAGTTCTTATATTAAATATCAGAGGTAGTATATATATTATATTAAAAGAAAAATTAAAACTAAGAGGTCACGAGCTCATGGCTAGGCCACTCAATATGACATTTTCAACATTTGTCGATCATCTATTAGTCTATAAATAAAAATTATTGCTGCCGCAACTTTTTGATCAGGCCGCATTGGATGAATATTGTTGGTTATAACTAATTTAAAAATTATTCCGATTCATGAAGACGATTAGCCTTAATATATGAAGCAATTTTGTTAACATTACTATGGAATTAAACACACTTAAATACATGAACACATTTTTTAATTATAATTAATCAATCAATATGTATAATTCAAAACAAATCACGGATACTTTTCTTCGTTTTTTTCAATTTACATGGAGAAATATATAATAAGTGAAGCAAGAAGAAATACATTTCATACTCCTCTGGACAGAAGAGAGGGTATTAATTTTTTCCCTTAATATAAGTCATTTTATTAAATTTATTACATAAATGTATAATATTATTTTTAATTTATTATCTTGTACACTATTTTTTTAAAATCATATATAGTAGTACAATTGCATTACAAGGTGGATCTTATATTTATGAAATTTTTAGATAAAATTAATAAACTTTAAGATTTTAATTCTGATAAATTAGGTTAAAAATACTTTATAAATAGGATACCTGTTGACAGATTTAGGGTTTTTTTAAGGAAAGATTAGGCTTTAGTATTTTTATACTTTTGTGCACCGTTTCGTTCTGCTTCTAATTCCCTGGCGGCCTTAGGCCTTTGGCACGCAAGCTAGGATGGATAAAGACATCAAAATCCAAAGTTACACAGTACAGAGCACTTGTCGCATTATCGTAACTTTATTCTATTAAATTATATAAATACCGATAACCCTTTGCTTCGTTATTATTATTATTATTACTATTAAATATTATAAAACTGTACTGTTTTTACATGAAAAATATTGTATTATTAATTAATATTTCCTAACAATCCTTTTGTTCTTATTCTCTACACCAGCTAACAAAGAAGCTGACCAATTTAATTACATTACACTCGGAATCAATGTTTTAAAATAGCAGTGTTCAAAATAAAATAATACCCATGATGCGGTCATTTCAAAAAATTAAAGCATAAAATTAATTCAGTTAGTTGTTTGTGACAAATATACATTAGTTTTCCTACATTGCTTTTTTTAATCATGTTTATTAAAATCACTTTAAGTCTTTTTTACCTTAAAAAAAAAAAACGACCCTTAGTTGCTCTTGTATCTAAAATAGGAAGTGGTAATATATATTCATTCAGCCTTCAATATTATTATATTAATAAAATACAATAGCTAGTAATACCAACTCCGGTTCTAAACATACAAGTTAGTTAACTAATTTGAATAAATTAAGAAAATAACTTAAGTTAGTCATTTATAATAAATAGGTATTGTCTTTTCTAAAATATTCCTATTAATCAAGTGTATTGTTTATAACTACTATTATTAGAAGGACTATTTTATAAACAAATTGATAAATATGAGAGATAAAATGGATTGTGATCTTATATTTAGAGTCAAAATAAAAATCAAATAAAATCTTATATTAAATACCAGAAATAATATATATTTATTCAGCTACTTTGTTTTATCTTTCAATGTTACCACTTCCGATCCTAATTATAAGATCTTATTTACATACAAATAAGGTTTTATAATTAGAATCGGAAGTAATATTATATTACTAACTCCTGTTGTTTTTTATGTAAATATATGAAGTGAGTCATGAGCTACTCGCCCAGCACTTAGTAATGATTATGAATTATGTTAATGATACATGATGAAGAACATTAAATTTTATTTTTTCTAAATTTCCTCCATTACCAAACAAAAACTACAATCACAATCATACTTTTTTGTTTAACTTTTGCCTTTTCTCTGGTATATAAAAATGGAATTACCAAACCAACTTTCGATAAAGTTACGTCATCCTATATAAAACACGAATAAATAATCCCAGGGCAAATCAAACTAGGTCATTTTTAATTACCTACACGACTAACCACTCTAAAATAAATAATAATATTTAAGACTCTCTCACTTAGAATTTCGTTAGTTAGTGGATATAATTAAAGGTATTTATCCGTCATTATCCCATTGGCTTCACGTTTCAAAGTGGGAAATACCACGGCAAAGAGCAAACCCTAGCTAATCCCTCATTTTCAGATCGCTTAAGAAGCAAAAAGGAGAAATCGTTAAAAAAATTCTAAAAATTAAAAAATTATACACAGAGACCTATTTATAAAAATTATAATCAAAACTTATACTATCGTTGTCAAACACATATTAATATTATCATGGGTTCTTATTATTTATAATTTTTTTATTTTGACGGTCATTTTTTATGATTTTTCCAAACATAAAAGAATGAAAAACGTATATAATTAAATTTGACTCTACAGTTTAGTGTAAGAATATTATCCGTAGGTAATTAAAGGGTAATTTTTTTATTAAAAAAAAAAAGAACTTATTGACGGGTGAGATCGACTTACCATATTCCTATTATAAGCCGTCGATATCCAACCGG